CCCCGCCCCACCCTTAGGTCTTCTCAGAATTGTGGTGGTCGAGTCAATTGTTGATTTCAAATATCATAACATGGTTTATGGATGTTAGAAAAGGTGACTCAACGAAAATTATATATAATACTGTGTAAAACACCAACTAAAGTCAACAAAGCAACAACATTTATTTGGAAAAAATGTGCACAATTAAAAAATAAATATTACTTTTTATGTCTGTTCCAGAAAAAAAGCCTCAATTGGCTGTCATAAGATACTATTTTATATGCACGTTATTATCTCTCTCTCTCTCTCTCTCTCTCTCTCTCTCTCTCTCTCTCTCTCTCTCTCTGTCTCTCTCTCATTATTATGAAGCCAATAATATGAAATGAATAAACGTATTCATTTCTAAATGAATAGAAAGGTATTACATATTGTATATTTAAAAGAGAAATTGACAATGAACAAGCAGTGGAGTATACTGTGCACGACGATTTGCCTTCGGTGCTATACCCCGCCCCTTGCCACGCCTTCTCGCTTTCCTATTGGCTCAGGGGCGGGCGCCTGTTATATGCAAATGAGACTGTGGGTGGCCGGGTCTGTTTGTAAAAGTGACGACACGAAAAACGACGAGGAAGAGGAGTAGGACAGGGAAGGGGAGGGGATGAGAAGGGGGGGTTGAACGTAAGAAAAAAAGAAAAGAAAAAGGGAGGGGGAGAGAGACAGAGAGGTAGAAGTTTGCTTTAATACATAACATTTAGTGACCCCCCCGCCCCCCATCTTACACTCAACAAAAAGATAGGATGTCTGTTGCTGATTTGTTGCCTTCATTGGGTCATTGACCAAATGATGACGAATGGATATTCAACTATGTCAACTTTAAAAAATAAATAAAAATATACGTATAACATTTTGACATCTGTAAAAATGACATGTTTATGATGGAAAACAATGGAGCAACAAACTCAAGGATATTCAAACATAGCACGTGTGTCAATGGTTTGTAAGCTAGCACACATCCCTCATTAGCAGCACTCTTAATTGACTTGCGACATGCAATCAATTATTGATACATGATACGATGCCATCGCATCTAACTTAATTACCCGTATCAGCGTGGGGGCCTCGCTGCCCTTGTATTGACGCCACATCCCCGACTGTGCTAATTATGACGCTTCTCCATGTGCGGCTTGCACACGCACACCGACAGGTCACGTGCAGGTTTATATCATCCATCCCTCACGAACAATTTTCTCTCGACATTAACTGAAATCAAGGGCTTGCCCGCAGTGATCTCTCAGGATTTAAATAAAAGTTTGGAATCGAACTGAATCACACACATGTAAAATGGACGTGAGACACATACGGTCTGTGGCCCACACTGGAATCCTGGTACCCCCAAAATCATTACTTTTTCATGCGAGCCCAAAACATCATGTTTGTTCAACCATTAACATCGCATCATTGAAATGAAGCAAGCCATTTTGTTTTTGGTCAATAATATTTAAATAACACAAATGTATGTTAATTGATCAATAGTATAGATTTTGGAAACATATAAAAATTCGTAAATTGTCACATAAGGTTTGGCCCACAGAAATATGTTTGTATAAACATGGTCATGTTATGTCATGAAGCAATGGCAACTAATTGAATTACATCCCCATGACAAGAATATGCAGAGAGGACTAAAAATTTCGGCCCCACCAATTTGCTGCCCAAGTGAGTTGCCGGAGGAATCTAAGAAGGGAAGCAGCTCATTTTAATGAATGGTAACACTTTTTATTTTTTATGTGACTATTACAATCTACAGCACTCACTGGAGGGAACCAAACGGCATGAGGTTCCCCAAGCTAGTTATTTAAGAAGCCCCACTTTCTCAAGAATCAGTAGGTTTATTTAGTGACAGGTTTGTTGATAGCAATGTGAATGGAATTAGCTAGGAGCCTCAGGTTCCAGAGGGTATGGGGTCCACAAACAGAGTGCCGACCTTAAATGCAAGCGAGTGAAACTTAGTTTATAGGATGGACACTTGAAAGTGGTGACCCCTGAACAGTGGGAGTCATGTTAGCATCAAGTTATTGTGTGATAACATTCCGGAGCGCTCCTCTAAAAATGTGATGCGCTGTATCTTCAAACCCTCCGGGGATGTTATTTATGAGCTGACCTTGAGTCTTGAAGAGGTCCAAACACATGTCTGTCTCCCCCCCTAGTGTATGTAAGTATATGAATTGGTGTGCCACATGACCTTTGTCTTTATTTTCATTTCTTTTTGCTTTTCAGGGGGATTACATCTGCTGGGTTGTGACTCAATTAGTCGGTTGGGTAACAATTGATCCGTCTTTGCTAGAGAATGTCACATTAAATCCACCCCGCCCCCCCGCCCCACCCTTAGGTCTTCTCAGAATTGTGGTGGTCGAGTCAATTGTTGATTTCAAATATCATAACATGGTTTATGGATGTTAGAAAAGGTGACTCAACGAAAATTATATATAATACTGTGTAAAACACCAACTAAAGTCAACAAAGCAACAACATTTATTTGGAAAAAATGTGCACAATTAAAAAATAAATATTACTTTTTATGTCTGTTCCAGAAAAAAAGCCTCAATTGGCTGTCATAAGATAATATAAGAAATATAAGAGAAAAAAACAAAACCGATACTATTTTATATGCACGTTATTATCTCTCTCTCTCTCTCTCTCTCTCTCTCTCTCTCTCTCTCTCTCTCTCTCTCTCTCTCTCTCTCTGTCTCTCTCTC